TGGTGAGGGTACAGAAAGAAGAAAAAAATGGGGTGTTAGCGTTGATGGTACCGATGTCACATAACATTCAGGATTTTAAGAGGTCAAGTTTCATAAGCTAACTGTCACGTATTCATCTGCTTATAGAAATGTGGTTAATGACATTTACTGTTCACGCAATCTAATCCACAGAAGGGTTAATGCTGAGCAGCAATTATGCAAATGAAACCTGGTAACTGACTTTGGGGTCAAAGGCCGGTTACAGCCTATCAGAAATAAAGGAGGGGTATTTAGGCCCAGTTCTCATCCTGCTCAGTGCCCTGTCGTGGTTTCCCTTGTGGTTGTCCGAGAGCACGTTCCTGTTATTAGTTTTCTACCTGGTTTTTGACTTTGGCTTTGTTTATTGACTTCTCTGTATTCTGGTATCCTGACTCCTGGCTTTCCTCATCGCTGCGTCCCTTTCTGTGTTCCCTGACCTCGGCTAGTATTTTTGACTATTCTATGTACGTTAAATCCAGCCATTCTAAGGACTGGTAATACGTTACTTATTTGTCATCCGTGCTATACAGTTATATGTGCTGGATCAAACATTAATCCTGACACTAACATGCCGAGTGTTTTTCGGTGGTTTCATTATATGTTAGTTTTGGATAAACATTTTCTGCATTTTGATTAGCTGTTGTTAGTTTAGTCTAGGGTTTGGGGTGGGGTACAGAAATAAGAGGGGTGGGGGATAGGGTTAGGGATAGGGCCTGCCGGCGTCATACTACAGGTCCCATAACCCCTCCCGGTCGTGATGCCGGTCATGTGACCGCGCATCATTATATTTATTTCATTTTATGCATAGCTCGTTTTTATTATAAAATCACATTTTCCAAATATTTATTCTTATCCTGTTTTATATTTATTATACCACACTTGTTTTAATTATGTTTTTAAATATGTATTCCTATTTGAATCCTGATTGGCTGCCCAAATTTTGGCGCCAATTTTTTTAATATCTGTATATGTTATTTAAAGGATCCACTGCCAGGTATCAGGTTCTTTACCCATATTGATTAAGTTGATTGACGAAACGCGTTTATGGTTTTTATACTGTGTAATTTTAAATATTAAAGTATATTTGGTAATCTTTTATTGTACCATTTATCTTTTTATACACATATATTTATTATTATTACCTGGCATTATTCTTTTTTATTCGCTGGACTCCAAGCAATCCTAGGTGGGGATTATACCACCAACGCGAACTACCAGGAGCAGTTGATCTGCTCCTGTCTTGTGAGTATCCACCTTTATTTTATTTATTTTATTTTAAATTTATACAGAGAACACTATTAGTTGTCTCTTTTTATTCGAGTGTCTTTCATACTACGGAAGAAGAAAGGACGCGAAGGAAACTCATCCTATATCCTATAAGCGGGGATTTAAACTGCTGTGTGCCCTCTATACCAGAGCAGGTTCTAGCTCTTTTAAATGTGAGTTTGCAATCAAGTTTTTCATTTCTACTTCCATTTTATTCAAGATATACTACACTATTTTGGCTCTGTATCTGTTCTTATCTCTTGCATATGAGACGGTCCATAAGGAAGATAACAAGCAAGACTAAACGCTTTGGATCAAGTACCATTATATAATACGTTTTCAACGGACATTGCCAGATAAGACTTTCTCCTTTTATCCATTGATTTTACTGGGACTTTTCGTATTATTTAAGTTTTATCTAAGCGCAGCCTTTTTTTGTATTTTTTACCTTTCTGTGTTTTGTTTTAAGGGTTTTTGAGGGATTCCCTTATAGGGTTGCTGCTAATCTGTGTTATCTAGCGCTCACTCATTTTGTAAGTTCTTTATTTAAATTTTTCCTACATTTATTTTCTGGTAAGTTGAGGTATAAAATACAGAGTTTGGTCGCTTTGCGGGGTTACACTTAGTTAAGTGCTTTGCGATGTTGTAGGGTTGAGGTGTAGAGTTTGCGTATTCAATACATTTGATGATTACCCTATTGAGTCGTGCCTTTGGTGGGTTGTCTGTTTATTTTTTACTTTTGGGACGTTTTCAACGCCTTTCGTTTGGTGTTTGTCTTGCCCCCCCCACCAGTTATGAATTTGTGGTCTGTGCTTTCCCCTTGAGGTCTGTGGTTGTTGTATAGGGTGATGAAGTGTGTGGGTGTCTGGTAGTGTTTGGGTCATGTGGTGTCTTTGGGTGTGCCTGGTTGTTTGGCTTTTGATGGTGTAGTCGGTATGATAAGGATTTGTGGGGTTTAGGGGTTGTGGGGGTGGGAGGGGTGGGAGGTGGATAGGGGTGGTATGGGCCAGGTTCTGCATGGGGCCTTTGGTGGGAGGGTATGTTGTGGTCTTTTTCTCAGTTGGAAGAATTTGCGGTTTGTCCGGTCCCCGGGCCAGCCACTCGCGATCCCAGGAAGGACTCCCGGGTCCACGGGTCCCAGATTTTATGGTAGTGTTGTGACGTGTCATGTAATAGTGCCAATAGTCTATCCATTTCTTTAGTTTCTGTTAGTTTTGCGAGCATCGTTGTCAGTTGGGGTGTGTTTTGGTTCCCCCATTGTTCCGCTATTGAGCGTCTAGTGGCGAGTGCCATTTTTTCTACTAGTTTATTCTGGGCTCTAGGAAGTTGGGGTGCGGTTTGGAGAGTAGCCATATCCAGGGGTCCAGTGGTATGTCAGCGTGTAGAATCCTGGAGGCTAGGTCAGTTACTTGTTGCCAGAGTTGGGATATTTGTGGGCATTCCCACCAGAGATGTATGTATGTGCCTTTATGGCCGCAGCCCTTCCAGCAGGAGTCTGTGTCCCTGAAACCCATTTGTTTTAATCTCAGGGGTGTGAGGTACCAGCGGAGTAGTGTCTTGTTCTTTGTGGTTTACAAAGATTGTTAGTGAGAGAGCGTCCGTCGGTGAGTTGGAGTTGAGGAGGAGGTATATTGTGGAGATTTGTCCTTTTTGTATGGGCGCACGTAAACATGCCCTTTCAAATTGTGTCTGTGTGGTGGTTGCGGCTATTTTGTTATTAGTCTCCTCTAGGAGCTCCGTATGTGTATGTAGCAGAAACGGTCAAAGGTATTTAATGGCATTTCTGTTGATAGGTCTGGGAATGGTCGGTAAAAGTGGAAGAGTCTGGTGAGTCCATTGTCTTCAAATCTAGTGAAGTTTTGGGGTGTCATGCCCGGGGGAATCGCGTGTTGCATAGTGTCATGACCGGGGGAATCGCGTGTTGCGTAGTAAGGGGGGATGGCCTGTTAATTAAGGGTTTGCATTTTGTCGTGGTGTCCCAGATGAGGAAGGATGTGTGTAAGGTGGGGGGTAGTTGGGGGGTCTATTACCCTTAGGTAGCCAGAAGAGGAGGGAGGGGTGGTCCCTGCCAGTGAGGTCGTGTTCTAGGTCAACTCATATTTTGGTGCCTGGTTGTGCGTGTAGGTTTTGTATTTGTGTTAGTATGGCCGCTTGGTAGTAGTGGTAGAAGTTGGGAAGTCCTAGTCCCCCAGTTTTAGGGTTTTTGTACATCATGGTTCTTTTTATTCGTGGCCGTTTGCCCGCCCATATCAATTAGTCTATTTCAGTTTGGAGTGATTTAAAATCGTGTTTTGAAATGGATATTGGCAATGCTTGGAACAGGTAAAGGAACTGGGGGAGTAGGTTCATCTTGATTGAGGCTATTCTACCTACCCAAGATATCGACATGGGGCGCCACCTCTGTAGATCGAGTTCTGCTTGTTGGATTAGTGGAGTGTAGTTTTCTGCATATGTTCTGGATAAGTGTATGTGCCTAGATAGTGTATGCTCTGTTATTTGTAGGTGAATGGGTGAGACCGTTCTAGGTTGTTTAGGGTTGCCTGCAGGATTCCCAGTGGGAGGGCCTCTGTTTTGTCCAGGTTCAATTTATAACCTGAGAGTCTAGCATATTCTTGTAAAAGTGTAAGTAGGAGTGGTAAGGATTGTTATTGTTCCGTCATGGTAGGAGGATGTCGTCGGCGTATGCCGCTATTTTGTATTCTTCATTCCTGATTTTCAGTCCCTTGATTGATTAGGAGTTGCATATGTTTTGTAGTGAAGGTTCAAAGGAAAGGGCAAAGAGGAGCGGGGACAGTGGGCAGCCTTGTCTTGTTCCGTTTTTGATTGTGAAATCCGGTTTAGTTGTGTTAGGTATGAGAATCGTGTCTGTGGGGTGGCCGTAGAGGTAGTCAGGGCCGTAAGAATGGGTGTTGGGAATCGAAATTTTCACAGTGTGGTGAACAGGAAGGGTCATAGTAGGTGGTCAAATGCCTTTTTGGTGTCCATTGATAGGAGGAGTGTGGGGATCCGTCTAGTGTGGGCTATCCACATTAGGTCTAGAATGCGTCTGGTGTTGTCTACTGCCTGTCTCTTTGGAATGAAGCCCACCAGGTCGGATGGATTAGTTTTGGGAGAGGAGGTTGGATTTGGTTGGCCAGGGTCTTAGTGATTATTTTTGTGTCAACGTGGAGGAGGGATATTGGTCGAAAATGTCCTGGGTCTGTGTGTGATTTTTTGGGTTTTGGGATAAGTCATATGTTTGTCCGTAACATATCTTTTTGGAGTGGGTCTCCCTGTAGGAGCGCGTTTCCTAATGCGGTAAGGGGGGGGTTTAAGATATCTGTGTAAGTTTTGTAGAATAGGCCACTGAAGCCATCAGGTCCTGGGCATTTATTGGGTTTAATTGATTTTAAGGTAAGGGCGATTTCTTCATATGTGATAGGAGTTGATAGTCTCTCTATCGCTAGGTCTGTGAGCCCTAGGAGAGGGGTGCATTTGAGGTATGCTTCAATGTCGTAGTGTATTTGTGGGGGGATGTCTGGTGTATGGTCATATACATACAAATGTGAGGTAGGCTGAACTTGATGGACGCAAGTCTCTTTTCAGCTATGTAACTATGTAACTATATAACTATATAGTTTAGTGAAGTAATCTGAGAATATTTTAGCTATCCGGTCAAGGTTGTGGTAGGTGCGGCCTCCTGGTGAATTTATCTTTTCTATTCTTTTGGTTTGGGTTTAATGTTGGAGTTTTCGGACCAGTAGGGTGTCAGCTTTATTTGATTTGTCATAGAATAGTTGTTTGCTCCACTGGAGTGCTTTTTGGGAGTCTTTTGCTATGTACGCTTTTATGGTCTGTTGATGTGTTTTAATCTGCTCTAAGAGTGTCTCCGTGGGGTTTTGTTTGTGTTGTGATTCTAGATTTCTGAGCACGTGGAGGTGCGTCTCTAGTTCGCTCAGTTTCTGTTTCTTGAGTCTGGATGCTTCTGCTATTAGCGAGCCCCTTAGGACTGCTTTGTGGGCCACCCACAGTGTGCCTCGTGTTGTTTCCTGGGTGTCGTTGGTGGTGAAGTAGTCTATAATTCCCTTGTGGGTGTTCAGCTTACTTTCCGGGTTGTGTAGTAAAGTGGGATTTAGTCGCCATGTCCATTGTCGGGCAGTTTGTGGTGTTACGAAGGAGAGGAATTTGTCTGCGTGGTCCAACCATGTTATAGAGCCAATCGAGGGTGTAGTGTCCCATGTTAGGAGGGAGGGAGATATTAAGAACATGTTGATTCTCGAGTACGATAGGTGTGGGTGTGAATAGAAAGTGTAATCGGGAGTTTGGTGGTTATGTAGTCTCCATATGTCTTGGAGGCCGGTTCGGAGCGTGAAGTTCGAGAGTAGTTTGTCTGTGTTGGCGCGGTGGGTCGCCTTTATTTGTTACGTGGATACCTCTTTCGGTCTATGTGAGGGGCCATTACTGCATTGAAGTCCCCTCCTACTATCATGTGATGAGAAGTAAATAATTTTAAGTGTGCCTGCAGGGTTGTCCAGAAGGGTGGGTCTGGGTTATTGGGAGCATATACCAAGGTGATGGCGTATTTGTGCGGGCCATATAGCCCTTTGATCGTGAGATATCAACCTTGGGGATCTGCGTATGCATTTGTTATGTTTATTGGGCAAGTGTTTTTGACCAGTATGGCTACTCCATTGCATTTTCCCAGTGTGGAGTTCGCCAGATAGCATTCTTTATAGTTTTTGTTTTTGAGTGGGAAGTTTCTAGAGGTGTCGAAGTGTGTCTCTTGGAGGAGGATAACATCTGCCCCCGTCCTGTTCGCCCAGCGCATAAGTTGTTGTCGTTTTGCAGGGTTATTTAAGCCCTTGCAGTTAAGGGAGGTGAATTTTAATTTTGTCAATATAGGCGGTTGCGCGTGTCGGTTTCCTGTGGCTATGAGCGGAGGGCCCGGGGTCCCCATCCTGGGAGGGTTTGTGTGTGGGTTAGGATTTTTGTGGTGGTTAGTAGAGTGAGGGGAGTATGAGGGGAGGGGTGTATAATTGGGGAGCTTGTACTGGTCTTACTTTTCTATTGCCAGGAAGTACTAGGGGGTGCAGTTGGTGCCTATGGGTGGGTAGTGTGTGGTAGTAGTGTCCTTGTTAGGACTTGGTTGTGTCAAGTTGAAGGAGAGGAGAAGAGGAAGGTTTTTCACATTCCCTTCTCCCCCTTTGCCCCGCAGCTGGATGTGTGTGTCACTCACGGTTAGGTGTGGATTCATTTGTTATATTGTGTGTCTTGTTCCGTGTGTGGTCCCAGCGGTGTTGCAGGTGTTGAGTTTGTTCGTGGTCCCAAGTCCCCCGTCCGGGTATTTTTTATATAGGTATATTGTTTGGTGGTATAGTATCTGAAACATAACATTAAAGTATCAATATTTAAGAAAGAAGAAAAAAAAATATACTTAAACATGAACATGTTAATACGTGGGTACAATTGAACCATTTGAAACAGCAAATATGCCCTCTGTCGGGCTGTCCCCTTGTGCGAGCCTTGGGATACATTTGGTTAGGCCCTTTGTAGTCGCCTTCATCTCTAAACCCTTCTATCCACCCTTATCACATTTTGTTTCGCCCGTCTTTCCCCTTTCCTGCCTTGTCTCAGTTGGTCGGGATAGTTGGGGTCGTCTCTTGTGGTGGTCAGGGGGGGGTTGGAGCTCGTGGTCCCTTTTGTGTTTTGTAGAGCCGATGCATTTTTCGGGGATGTCTGAATGTGGGGCCCTTCAGGTTTTCGGTCTGTGTCAAATTGGGTTACGGTCCTGGTGGGTTCCCATCCCTAGGGTGGGATCATTGGTAAGGATTGAGTGTAGATTGCCCCGGTCAGACGTGGGTTGATTTGTTCAGGCTAATAAGGATTCCCCCATCATTATCTCCCCCTCCCTAGAGCGAGTACAGTGTCCCCACACCCCCCATTCCTCCCTCCCTTGCATACTGGTTATGAATGATCTGAGTCCATAGCATGGGTTATTTCGTTTCGGTAGTTCAATCGATCTTTGCTTCCAGTAGTCTTGGTGCGTGGTCCTCTGCTCGGAGTCAGGTGTCGGTTAGGGCAGTTCTTGTCTCGTTATTTGGTGGTGGTCGGGGGGCAGCTGGTCGTTGTGACTTTGGGCCCAGTGTTTGATTGGGGTCCCGGGGTGGGTTGAGGGGTGTCAAAGTCGGAGCAATGTCCAGGCGTATGTCTTTATCTTTGCTTGGGGGGGTGGTGTTTGAGTTGGTACCTAGTGTTCTGCCCAGGCTCAGTGGTGCCGGCGTGTCAATTGTCCCTTACAAGGTTGATTCAGGTTATGTGGCATAGAAGGGTGGTCGCGCACCGGAGCATTTTAATTCCTTGTGATTGTGGGTTCATTTATTCACTGGTGAGTTCCGAGATGTGGATTCCTTGGTGGGGATTCACTGTGGGTGAGTCTCCTGATTGGGTGAGTCTTTTCTTTTTATTAGGGTGGGGGGATCGTTGTTCTCCTCCCAAGCGGTCTCCCCCTCTGTTTCCCTGGATTGGGGTAGGGTTCACCAGTTGGAGCCCTAGGGATTCTGCCAGTGGGCCCATTTCCGCCACAGTGGTCAGTATATACGTCTGATCGTCCCTTTTTATAATCAGTTTGAAGGGGTAGCCCCAGGTGTATTTGAGCCCTTGGTGTTGAAAGGCCAGGGTGAGTGGCTTGAGATTTCTTCTTTTTTAAGTGTTGTCGTGGCTAAGTCTTGAAAGAAGGTAAGGTGTGTTTCTTTGTTTCTCGGCCGGTCTGTCTCTAGCTAGGTTTAGTAGTTTTTCCTTCGTGCGGTTGTAGTGAAGACGTATAAGAAAGTCTCTAGGCATGTTGGGGTTTAGGTTCTGGGGTCTTAATGCCCTATGGGCTCTCTCCATCTCCATATTCTGCGCAGTTAATTCCGGAGCAATTTGTTTGAAGATGTCTCTGAGCGTAGGGATCAGGTCTTCCGTCTAGACTGCTTCAGGTAGGCCCCTGATACGGAGGTTATTCCTCCTCGACCTGTTGTTCAGGTCCTCTAAGCCGTCCTCCATAGCATTTATATGACTATGTAGGTAGGATATTTCCTGGGCTTGGGTGGTGGAGGAGGAAGTTAGTGTGGAGAGTCGTACCTCTGTCTGGTCGGTGTGGGTGGAGAGCGCTTCCACTTCGGCTCTGAGGCCTGCGAGCTGTTTCCCGAACTCCTCCACCACATAGGATTTTATGTCCGCAGTAGCTTCCTTTAGCATTGCGCTGAGGACCCCGGTGGTGAGAGGGGCAGAGGGATTTATTAAGCTGTTTGTGTCTTCGTTCTCAGATAATTGTTCTTCCTCGAGCTGGGAGAAGGTAGGCCTTTGTGAGTCCCCTGGCGCCCAGAAGATATTTGCGACCGATGGTGTGGAGTCACTAGAGCTTATCCTACTAGTTTGGGCCAATCCTTTGTGGGAGAACGACAATCCCGATAAGCCCTGGTCTAGTATCGCCATGGATTTCATAGTGGACCTACCACTTTCCAAAAATCACCAGGTAATCCTGACTATCATAGACAGATTTTCCAAGATGATCCATCTTGTCCCTTTAATTAAATTGCCTTCGTCCTCCGAACTGACCACGGTGTTTATAAGGGAGGTGGTTCGTTTACACTGTATATCCGTGGATATAGTTTCAGACAGAGGTCCACAATTTATTTCCAGGTTTTGGAAAGCATTTTGTAATCAATTGGGTATCAAGCTTAATCTCTCTTCTTCGTATCATCCCCAATCTAACGGGGTTACAGAAAGGATGAATCAATCACTCAAACAATACATTCGCTGCTTCACGTCCGATCACCAAGATGATTGGATGGAGTTACTTCCTTGGGCTGAGTTTGCCCACAATAACAGGGTTCACGAATCTACGCAATATAGTCCCTTCCCTTTTATATAAATTATGGCTTTGACCCTATTACTCTTCCGAGTTCCTTTTCATCCACTGCAGTGCCAAGCGTTGACTACACTATTAAGAATATGAAGTAAACTTGGATATGGGGTCAAACGTATCTTGACTCAAAAGGCTGAAACTCAAAAATGTAAAGTGGACAATTGATGAAAAACCGCTCTGAATTTTATGGTAGGGGATAGAGTGTGGTTGAGTACACGCAATATTAATTAAAAGTCCCCTCTTTGAAATTTGCTTCGTTTTATTGGTCCTTTATTGGTCCTCAAACGCATTAATCCAGTCTGTTATCGCCTGGATTTGCCGGCTAACATGAAGATACCCAATTTCTTTCATGTTTCTCTCCTTAAACCTTTGATTTGTAATCGTTATACTCAAATACCCACAAGACCTCCTTCAACACTCGTAGAAGGCCAAGACGAATACGAAGGGAAATCTATTTTGGACTCTCGTGTTTCTAGAGATCGTCTCCAGTATCAATTGGATTGGAAAGGGTACGGCCCCGAGGAACGGTCATGGGTGGATGCCTTAGATGTACATGCTCCTCCCCTAGTACGTTCATTTGCTAGGCGTCGTTCTCGCAGGCCGAGTCCCCCCCGCCCTAGGGGCGGTTCTCGAGGGGGCTACTGTGACGATACCTTACCTTTCTCCTCCGGACCCGCGCAGCGCGGCGGTCTCCCTGGCTGCTTACGGGAGGTGGCGCAGCCTGTCGGGTGCTAGCCGCTTGCGGCAAAACCCCTCTTATGACGCGGCGAATGCGCGGCTAAGTCATCAGGATTTTGCAGCGAAAATTCAAACGTGGCCACACTCCCGGACCTTTTGGGGGCGTGGCTTTAAAGCAAAACACACCTCACTATATAAGGGTGCCCCTGTCCTTCCCTCAGCACCCTAGTGTGGTTCTTGTTTGTTCCCTCTAGTGCTTTTGGTAAATTTGTCTGTTTTCTGGTATATTGACCCTTGGCTTCCTTACTGACTACTCTCCTCTCTGGCTCCCCGAATTTTGGCTTGGTTATTTCTCGTATATTCTGTTTTCTGTACTCCCTTGACCTTTGGCTATTCCTTTGACTATTCTCTGACGTTAAGCCCGGCCACCCTAAGGTCCGGTGTATGTCTCTTTCTGGGTTACTATCTGCGTGAAGGGGTCACTGTCATGACACCCAATTCCCGACACAATAGGTCTCCCCGGCGGATCTTTCACATCTTTATGGATTTTGGGGAGGATATAAAAAACGGGGATCCTTGGGAACCTTACATTTAAAAAGTCT